CACATGGGACTTTATACCATAAGTGCAAAGCTCACCGGTATAGGAGAAGCACTTTCTCGCCATCGGATCCAAGGCTGTGGAACCAACTCACCCCTGGAACTAGGGCCCACCAGAAATCTCACCAGATTTTCTGCTCCAATTGCAAAGTACGTTTCTTCTCCTGCCTTCTCTAATGGAAACACACAATATCATGGGCATTTAAAAGCAAAACCCTACCAAAGCAATACACAACGCTACACAATGGCTGGATAACCGTACTCAGAGAGTAGTTATTAAGGGTTCCCAATCCTGCTGGAAAGGTATAACAAGTGGGATTCTGCAAGGGTCTGTTTTGGGACCGGCTCTGTTCAATATCTTCATCAACGACTTAGATATTGGCATAGAAAGTACGCTTATTAAGTTTGCGGATGATACCAAACTGGGAGGGATTGCAACTGCTTTGGAGAACAGGGTCATAATTCAAAATGATCTGGACAAATTGGAGAAATGGTCTGAGTTAAACAGGATGAAGTTTAACAAAGACAAATGCAAAGTGCTCCACTTAGGAAGAAAAAAATCAGTTTCACACATACAGAATGGGAAGAGACTGTCTAGGAAGGAGTACAGCAGAAAGGGATCTAGGGGTTATAGTGGACCACAAGTGAAATATGAGTCAACATTGTGATGCTGTTGCAAAAAAAGTAAACATGATTCTGGGATGTATTAACAGGTGTGTTGTGAGCAAGACACGAGAAGTCATTCTTCCGCTCTACTCTGCTCTGGTTAGGCCTCAGCTGGAGTATTGTGTCCAGTTCTGGGCACCGCGTTTCAAGAAAGATGTGGAGAAATTGGAGAGGGTCCAGAGAAGAGCAACAAGAATGATTTAAGGGCTTGAGAACATGACCTATGAAGGAAGGCTGAGTAATAGGATAAATCAGAAGCATCCATCAGATGACCATCCCTGTAAGCTTTTCATAATTTCTGCAGGCAGTGATGAATTATGTCAGTACTTAGATTCACTCTCCCATAACATGCAAGACAAACAGAAAGAGGGAGGAAAAAATATCATTCAGAACCAGTCTTCCTTAACGTCTTAAAAGACATTATGTCTATTTGTATGACTTCATCATCCAATTAGGGGAAGCTGAAAGTGTTTCCGTCTGAATTTGAAGGTCATTAGTGATTCATCGAGATTCATAACTGCTGTGATAGCGATGAACATAAGGTCCATGCACAAACACATTTTCCAAGTGCCAGAATTGAGCATTGCTATCCTAGACATCTTGCTGTTCATCAGTTATCTGACATTGGGCATCATCCTGCATTCCTTACTCCGGCAGGATTCCCACTGCTGTCAAAAGGGGAGGATGCAAAACTATTACTATTACTCTTCCCGATGATCCTATGGCAAGTAAAGATAATGCAGTGGTAACTTTCTGCTAGAGAGGTAACACATGAGTGCACAGAATGTCATTCTCCCACATGCATCCATCAGACCCCAACATTGCATTTGCCAGCTAACAATCTTCTCTCTTTCCACTTCACTCCTGTCCTGGTTAGTAAGATGAGCACTGCTAAGCTGTACAACTGGAGTTCATGCTACACGACATCGTAAGCTCAGGTGTGTGAGGCTGTTGCTCACAATCTCTGTCTTCACTGCCTTTGTGATAAATAAACATGTAGCTAGAAATTAGCACTCCAAGTATCTGAATCACTGATTGTTTTGCCTGTAAATCTGTGCTTCACTTCAGGTTTCACTTGGCATAAGATTTTGGCTAAAGAGAGAATGATGGTCGGGGGGCGGTCTTTGGACAATGAAAACAGAGAGATTTCTAGCATGGGGTGGTGTGCGCTGATGACCCTAAAATGCCTGTCTAGTTGAACGGTGTTTTGCTGGGTACGACAGATAATAAAACCAACTGTGTGAGTACTAATCACATACTCCTGTGCACCCTGATTCTGCAATCAGACCCACATGGGTAGAAGCTCCTAATCAGATGGATCCAAATGCAGGATGAGGGCCATTGCAAGTACAGATCACATGTGAAACAAAACCCAAAAGAGAACCCTGATTGTTGGGTATGATGGTTGTAGAGGAGTGGGTGGAATTATTTCCATGGGAGGTAAAGGGGTGGGGGGGAGAGAGAGATGAATCTTCCACCTCTTTGTCAGAGGCAGCCCAATTTCAGCTACCTGGATAAGGCCTCCAGAGGATCTGACCACCTCACAATCATTAAATGTATCTATACACTCAGCATCTCATTGGGAGGTAGGGAAGTGCTAATAGGCCCATTTTACAGAGGGGAGATTAAATGGTTTGCCTGCCCAAAGTCATACAGGAAAAGACTGTGACAGAACAGGGAATGGAATCCAGGCCTCCCACGTCCTGGTCTGGCCCCCTAGCCACTGGACCATCCTTCCTCTCCTTCCTGTTATTCAGAATTTTCCTCCTAATGCACTTTCAATGTCTACAGAAACATTTTAAGACATAACACATGACTCAGGTCCTACCCATGCATTTCAAAACTGATTTATGGGGCTAACATTTTAAAAGGGGCTTCCCATCTTGCGTCCACCAGGGCAGGGAGCACGGCAATTGCCCTGGGCACCAGCATTCAAGGGACACTGGACCATTGTGCCACTCGGCCATTTTGGTTGTTTTTTCTCTGCTGACTGGCTGGGTTTTTTTTCTGGTCCACCCTACGGCGGGGAGGTGCTCCAAAAATGTTTTCCACCCCGGTCAGCAAAAGGCGTTGGGTCATTCCTGCTTAGACGACCTCTTTCTGTCCCTATTCTCTTTAAAACACCACCACAGATCAACACGTGCAACTCCTCCTGATATCCATGGCATGTTACCGAGGTCAGAGGGCGGCATTATGGCCCTAAATATAAACAAGGAGTCAGACAATGAGGAGGAGAGCTATGCGAGAGAGCATTTACCACATTGGACTCAAGAGGGTGTTTATAGCGTGTTGGACAAAAGGTGACATGTCAATGGCAAGTATTACTGCTGGGATAAAAGACAAATAGGAGACTCTCTGGAAAAACACACCTTCTACTTGAGGGAAATTTAATATGCCTTTTAGAAACTGGGCAGCACGTTTGTGTGTGCGTGGCAGGGTCAGAATGAGGCTGTTCCACAACACCTTCGTACTATGCTGCAAAAGTGGATCCGGGACGTGTGTTCTTTGCTGGCTTACTCCAGTGGCCTGTGTGACATCCACAACGTACCTCAGATCAGCATATAGGGGAGCAGTGGGGGCCAAATACCTAACTTGTTTCAAGACCGAGCTCCATAAGTTTAGGGAGCGGATGATATGATGGGACTGCCTACAATGGCATGTGGCCCATCCATGACTGCTATTAGCAAATATGGGATGCCGGATGGAGAGGGCTTTGGTTACTACAGAGAATTCTTTCCCAGGTGTCTGGCTGGTGGGTCTCACCCACATGCTCAAGGTCTAACTGATCACCATATTTGGGGTTGGGAAGCAATTTCTCCTCATGTCAGACTGACAGAGACAAGGGCAGGGAGTATTCGCCTTCCTCTGCAGTGTGGGGTAAGGTCATTTGCTGATTTGAACTAGAGTAAATGGTGGATTCTCAGCAATTTGAAGTCATTCAACCAAGACATGAGGATTTTGGGAACTTAGCCAGAGGTTATGAGCCTAACGCCAAAGTGGGTGCGCAAGGTTTTGTGGCTGGCAATGTGCAGGAGGTCAGACTAGATGATCAAAACGGTCCCTTCTGGCCTTTAAGTCTATAGGTCTATGACAGCTGGTATAACCTGAAGAAAATTGTAGCCATGTATCATATCAATGAAAGGAACTATAATGCACATAATACTGACATGCTTTGCCTCTGTACTAGAACACAAATGTGTTATTTTAACATATCTGGAAATATACATTTATTTTTACTGGGAAAATGGACTAGCAACCCTATTTTTTCTAGTGATGGCAGAAAGAATATTTTCTATTACAAAATATATTTTCTACATTATAAAAAAGTATAAAGCAGCTTTCATTTGGACTTGGTTGAAGGGCCTTTGTGTTTTTTTCAAACTCATGAGAGAAAGGTGATCGTCAGTTTTGCTCGAGTCGTATTTGATTTGACATACCTGGGGGAGAAAACCCTTCTAATTGCTAAAAACCCAATAATGGGTAACAAACTGACCCTACCAGAAAGCATTCCATACTAATCTAAGGACTTTTGTTGTTCTGTGGCCGCAGTAAGAATGGGGACTGCGTCAGTCACTAAGATCAGCCACTGGTAAAAAAATGTAAGAAACTGCAATATTCACGCCTATGTGTTCATATGAGTTATAAGCCATCCATCAGTTCAGAGAGAAACACACACACTCCGTAAGCACTGGAAGATACTCTTAGCTGAGACAATTGCCAACAGAGGGACATACTTTCTTGTAAGACATAGAAATGAACATGCATTGAATACCTAAACCACAATGGGTGTCTATGGGATTTTCCCAACTAGGAGCAGCATGTGCCCCAGTATTCCCTTACATACTCATTAAAACAGCTGCCTGCCCCACATGGGCACTATTAGATGCAAGCAGCTGCATGACCTCCCTTTGGAGAGCAGAGCATCATCTGCCACCCATCCAACCTTCTACCTTCTGTTCATAGGAGCAGTACACTCTGGAAACCAGGAGTCCAAGGTCTAGTCTTCACTTACCGGCTGGTCCGGCGGCACGCCATCGATGTTCTGGGATCGATCCCGGAAGTGCTCACAGTCGGCGCCGGTACTCCAGCTCGCCGAGAGGAGTACGCGGCATCGACGGGGGGAGACTTCCTGCCGCATCTGGACCGCGGTAAGTTCGGACTAAGGTACTTCGAATTCAGCTATGTTATTAACGTAGCTGAATTTGCGTACCTTAGTCCGATTTGGGGACTTAGTGGGGACCAGGCCCAAGTTATGGGGAAGCCTCACTCCTCTTCTCTTGCACATGCACTGAGGAAGAGCCACAGTTGTAAAGCCCAAGTCCAAGGGAGCAGCCTTACCTGTACTGCTGGATATGTTGACATCAATGCTGATATCGGATATGCCTCCGCCTTTCAGGGATGCCACGCAGGTGTACGTTCCAAAGTCAGTGAATTTCAAGTCGATGATGTCCAGGTTGGTGGTGCCAGGGGAAACATCAGGGTCAGTCTGGGTGATGACCATCCTTTCTGAGCTACGCAACGGGCGTCCATTTTTAAACCAACTGAATGTGAGCTCCTCAGAAGGAACAGCTTCCACCTGGCAGGAGATTTTCACCTCGCGCCCAATCTGGATGTTGTCGTCTTTGTGATATGGGTCAGGCGTGATCCAAAACCGGCCTTTTTTTAATGCTAAAATATAAAAACATGCCCACAATTAGTCTAATATGCTACAGCTCCTGCAATCCAAGACCCGGATCCTGCAAACCGTTATACCCATGCATATGAATGGTCCCACTGAAGTCACGGTAAACTACTCACGTGCATAAAGTGGAACACGTGGATTAAACGTTAGCTGGATCAGGTCCTTAATCAGCATCATAACGGTGGCATACATATGCATTGCTAAAGCTCTCACCACTGTTGTCATGCAAGCAAGGAATAGATACAGTAAACAAATCTGGCTGAGTTGCTGGCAATTGAAGGGTAATAAAAACAGTTCAAGCTTCCTCAGTGTTGACTATGTATTGTTCTAGGTAGATCCATGTCCCCCGCCCCACTGTCCTATCAGAGTGCCTGAAGATAAGCTTGCTGAAGATAAGAAAACACAGAGATCAATCTAATATCACTGAAATGATCAGGAGTGTCATCTCAAATCTGTCTGCGGACAGGGACAGCTGTGTGGAACAGCCCTTTGCTAGTTCGCTACATGGGAAAAAACAAACTCACTCCTAGGCTAAAATCCTCCCTGAGGTACACACATGTGGCTCCTTCCCCCATCAGTGGCCTGGATTCACCCCTCACTCAGACAGGCTGCAGCCTCCACAGGCTTGTCCCACTGGGGATCCCCCTGCCAGCAACTGCAGCCCCAGAAGTGGCCAGCTAAGGTGCACACCTGGAGCATGGATGCATCTTCTGAGCCGCCTCCCTTAGTGGGTCTGTTCTGAAGTCACAGCCGCAATTTAAAGCTGCCCTTCCCCAGTGTATTCCCCATGAGAGGCTGTGCAAATGTAATCCACACACCTCCTGGGTGTGGTGCTGTGTCCCAGCTAGCGGCACTGAGACCACTTAGAGAGAATTAAATGAGTTCACTCTTAGCAAAGAGCCAGTTGGCTTTTAGCTCATGCAGTAGAGACTCATGCACTAAGTTCCAGAGGTACCAGGTTCAATCCCGCCCGACGACGACAGTGTTACACAAACACAGCATTCCCTTCCCAGGGGTGAAGTGGGGCTGCCTATCCCTGGTGGGGCAGCGCCTGTCGAAGTAAAGTGAGGCCAATATGCGCGCACACGGCTGGGAACAGAATGTTAGCCAGAAATTGCAGTGACGGAGCTTGCCACAAGCATCAACAGGTGGGGGGGGGGGGGGTTAAATTAATAATAAAGTTATTTTCTTCAATTCACTAGGACAAGAATTAAGCATGGTAATTAATTCTCAACCCTCCAGCCAACGAGGGGAAGTACCGTCCCAGTTTTACAGAGGAGGAACCAGAGATACAGAAATTAAACAAGGGCTTAAGGAGACAGTGTCAGAGCCAGCATTAGGACTCAGATGCTCTAGGTCCCAGCCAAGAATGCCAACTGCTACCCCATGACGCTCTCGTGAGGCAGGACAATCTCCAACTGATGAGAGTCACTAACACAAATTCAGCAATTTGCTATGAAAAAGCAACTTGATGCCATACTTCAGACATTTGTTTTCAATATTTTTGTTTAAAGCAAACATAAAACTATCCTGAAACTGTAGCAATTGGAATTAGCAAAGCAGCTGGTAGGATGCTAATTTTTGGAAGATGTTCCAGAGTCAACCATTAAGCTCTTTAAATATGTGTAACTTCTGATATACTGCATTTAAATGCTACATGTATAATCTCTCTCTCTTGCTCTCTCTCAGAATATCTCTCTATATATTCTGTGTCAAACTGAAAAGCCCCACAAGGAAAATACCGGTTGGAAATTTTATAAACAAATATTCTGGCTAAACATAAAAACTGGAGGACAAATATTTAAATCTGACATTTCCGCTGCATTATGTGACTTTTTAGCACAGTGGAAAGTTCCTTTGTTTCCCCCCTCCCTCTTCCCGCGACTGCCCATACAGTGTTTCGTGCATGGAGCATTCGGAGGTGAAATGAGGACACACAGCAGCATTCTCCTATCTGGCCTCATGTATTTAGATGCTTACAGCAAATGAAGTGTGACATCGTTACAAATGGTAAAGGCGGTGTACTGAACATTTTCTTGTCAGGATACCATACTTTGGGTAATAAACAGTTTGCTCATATACAGAAAGCGTAACAATATGAAATGGAAATGAACTTATGAGGTACAAAGCAAACTAGGAGAGCATTCATTGTCAGCTGTTTATGAAGTGTTGAAAATGCTAATTCAGACTCTCTTTCCTTAGCTCAGTAACTCTTTGCAGCTAACCAAAGTGAGGCAAAATTGCCGTTTTCACCACTTTCTATAGCTATCAAAGAGCTGACACTTCATGGATGATATTTTAATTGTGTTTTTTAACTTTTCTATTTTTTTTTCATCCTCTACCCACAAATCTAAAAATCTTTCAAAATCCAGATAGCAGCCCACAAACAGAACGAGATGGACAAACACACAGGCAATAGACCCAGAGAGACACAGTAACAAACTTTGGCTGTTGAAATAGCATCACCATCTTAATTAGAGAATGAAAGAATTGGTTTGTTTGTAGCGCAGGTTGGAGAGCACAAGAGGTTATTTGGAAACTCATGTACTTCATTGTTAAGGTATATGGATGGCTGCTAGGTTTCTAATTAAGTATTTCTGAATCTTGAAAGTTTCATGAATTTTAGTATGAAAAAATTCATGTCAGAATATGTGAGCCATTATTCATCATTTGTTACTCTGTTTAAAAGCTGCAATCAACCGCCCAGGAAGCAGAAACCGGCAGCTGACCAATCCCACGCAACAAATAAAGAAGCTGAAAATTGTCAAAGTGAACATTTGCAGTCGGCTGCTGCAATTCGTTCAAATACCATTTCCCACAAATACATGGACGTAACAAATACACTCCTACTTTGCAAACAGAGAAAAAGGAAGTTAAACAATCAAGGTCAGGACTAATTCAGTCACCTCTGTTTGGTAGTAAAATCACCAAGCTTGTTTCCATTTTGAATCTTTTTTCCCTTGTCTGCACATAGTGAGTTTTAGCCATTTCTCTCTCCCGGCAAATGGATAGCAGCGTTGAAAAGAAAGTTTTAAATCTCATCCATTCCTCGTTTTGGCTAAATCCATAAGAGCATCTAAGCTAAGGAGAAAAGGAGTCCCAGGCTTCAGGCAATAAGCCTCATGGGTCAAGAACACTGCTTTCGTTGCCCATGTACTACATTGCAGAGTTGGCTACCAGCAAGTGAGGTATGGTTTGGTTTGTTGTCTGATTTTTACTTATGCGGAAGCATCAGGTATTAGCAACAACCAGCGACAGGATATTGGACGTGGACCAGACAATGTTCAGCCCTGCTATGGCAAATCCTATATTTCTAAAACCACTGTAATGACAGAAGAAAACGTCTGTCAGGTAGGTCCCAGGGGTTGCGGTACAGCACCCACCTTAGCCAAATCGTTCTCCCAAAGGCGATTCAGAGGCACAGAAACTGGGTGCTGAAACACTATTTCTTGGCAGGAAGATGCTATAAAATCAGAGCTAGTAAAAGCTTCTGTGCCATTCCCCTCCTCCTCTCCCTTCTGCTCTCCACACACGAGACTCTCCCTTCACACGCCATCCCGCTTTCCTCTCAGCAAGCATCACAGCCATCGCTAACAGCAACACGGATTCCCAATTCTACACCTGGTTAACCAGAATGCCTCTCTCTCTCTGGTCACATTCTCCAAGAGCCTCACAAAACCTGCACTGCCATTGCGCTATGTCTCTCTTGCCAACACCAGAGGAACAATTTTGGTTTTATAATCGTAGCCCTGAAGCATTAAGTACCACCGTTAACCAATCAACATCCTAACCTCACTCACCTGCAGGGGGAGACAGTTCAGTTCCACCATTAACAGTTCAAAGGCTGTGTTGGAAATTGATGCATTTGCCTCAAAGTTAATTCCTTTCCTATTACATTCGCGAGTTACATGGGGCCATTCTAGTCACACATTCAGGTTGTAAAAGAGCCAGGAGCAATAATCAAAACTCTGTGTTCTAAACATTTTTTGAGGGACAATTGTCCAGATAAATTGACATCCTGCAGGCAGCCACACCTTCCTTGCCCATAAAAACTTCCTCACTCCCCCAAGGTACTCTGCCCCTCCTGGGCGCTGGTTTTTAGGAGGTGGCCAGGTTCCCATGGTAAAGAATTACAGAAAGAGTCACTTTCATCTAGTGTTGAGCAAGAAACTTCCTGAGAATAAGGAGAACAGTGTTATCTCTAATCTCATCTATTTCCCTCTCTGCTTCATTGCAGAGCTTTTGGCTTGCACTCTGCCCAGCCCAGTCCCTATTCTAGCTGGAAGGAACAGGACACATACCCTCACAGAGGGAAAGCCTAGGGGGTTCACTAACTGCTTCCTTCCCCTGGCAAGCTAATGTTCATCATCAGTATTAACTTAGGAAGACTCTCCCTCCACACTTGCAAACGTTCCCCTGAGAGGAGGGTCACGGGCAGCTGAAGGCAGGTTTCCCAAGTCTGCACGACTCCCACGGAAGATTCTTTCAGTCCCAATGGCCGGAAGAGCAGTGAGGGCAGTCAACAGCCCTGAAGTACGCAGTCTCTGCGCCAATATCCCGACCCTTGCTGCATGGAGCTAAACTCAGGGGATTTCTCCATGGGCTGTTGGACCTTCTGTAGAGCCAGGAAGCAAAAGCCTACTCCAAGATCTGAGGTGCAGAATCCCATCCACAGGCTGGATGATGCCTCTGACAGTCCTCAGGGCATTTAAGTTTTCTGCCCGTATGCTGCCCCCTCTCAGGAGCACTCCCCCTCCATCTGTCAGGAGTTGAAGTATCACCGAGCACTTGAAAGTTTATTTCCAGCTATATTTTCAATAAGGTCTTGGGGTTTACGTGCACCGATGACCCCAATATAACAGCTCTTTGTCCATTCCTAGAGTACCTGTTCCTTGACCAGGCCCAGATTTGAATCCTTTCCAATGACCCCCATACCTAATAGCAGGTGTATTGATATACACACGGTGCCCTGAGTTCTGCCCAGGAG